GTATAGGGCCCCCCAGGTTCCCCGGGGGCCCCCGGGAGTCATGAAGAACCTTTCGATGGTGGGGGGGGGGGGGGCATAGTGGGTCCGGTCTCTCCTGCAGACGTAGGTGAGAAAACGCCACGTGTGTGGGAAAACGCAATTCAGTTCTTTACAACCTAATGTAGCATTTGGTTGTGATTTCTCGCGTTCAACTTCATCAAAGTCAATTAAAACGGTCTCTGTAACGGTCTAAGCCTTGGGAAAATGTGGAAAATTGGAAAGTAAAAATATTTTTGCTTGAGGAGTGTGCATGAAACGCACGGCATTTTATGAGCGAGCGCCTCAATTACTGAACATCCTCCAATTCCGGATATGTAGGTATATAATATAATAGTGGGGAAAAAATGTCTCGTTATCGGAATTCCACTATCCGGCAACTAGCCCTATGTAAACGCGGCTATTATATGTTTCACTAGGAATCGAGCGCAATTGTACTTTTAGCCAGAAAATAAATGTTTGGGTAATTCTGGGACACTCTGTATTAATTGGAGGAATAGGACTTAGGAGGAAATGCGATTGCAAATCGACCCACATCCCTGTGTTAGCCAATGACGCCTTTGGGGCCAAGGTTGGGGGGTATTCAGTAAAGCCTTTTTGTTTTTTCTGTGATATCTCCGGCACCGTGAAAGATATTGGCTCCTTCAGATGAGTGCCTACTCCAGTCACTACTTATATCCAGTAGCCAGTAGCCACTCAGATGATTTGGGATCAATCAGGTGATAAGCGTACTTTCAGACGACCAGGGACCCCCAGTCGACCAGGGGTTCCCAGGCGACCAGGTCCTCCAGATGACTAGGGGCCCACTGCCCCAGGCGACCAGGGCCCTCCAGGCGACCAAGGGCCAATGCGATCAGGTCCCCAAAGCGATCAGGAGCCCCCAGGCGACCAGGGGGCCCCATGTGACCAAGGGGGCCCCATGCGACCAGGCCCCCGGCTACCAGGGGCCCCCAGGCGACCAGGGGCCCTCTAGGTGACAAGCGGCCCTCAGGCGATCAGGGGCCCCCAGGAGACCAGGGGATCCCAGGCTACCAGGGGCCCAAGGCGACCAGGGTCCCCCAGGCGACTAGGGGCGACCGGGGGCCCCAGGCAACAAGGGGCCCCCATGCGACCAGGCCCCCCGGCTACCAGGGGCCCCCTGGGCGACTAGGTACCCCCAGGCGATCAGGGGCCTCAATATCATGCAACCAGAGGCCCCCCATGCGACTAGGGCCCCCTAGGCGACTAGGGGCCACAGACTATCAGAGGCCATACGACCAGGCCCCGGGCTATCAGGGCCCCCTAGGCAACTAGGGGCCCCCAGTCGATCAGGGGCCTCATGCGACCAGAGGCCCCCCATGCGACCAGGGCCCCCTAGGCGACTAGGGGCCACAGGCTATCAGGGGCCCCCATGAGACCAGGCCCCCGGCTACCAGAGGCCCCCTAGGCGACCATGGGCCCAGGAAACTGGGGGCCCTTGGATGACTGCAGGGGCCCCTCGGGTACCCAGGGCACATAAATGAAACTTTAATATCAATTTTTCTTCCGAGTAAAAGACGTTTTACCCAGTGTTTAAAAAAATATCCTCGGCCTTGGCCCCCGTGCCCCCCCCCCTTGGGTACGTCACTGGTTGGTTGCAATTTTGCTTGGGGGTTTTAGTGATAGTCTGTTGTCTGTTTTACCAGATGGAAATTACTTTTAATTGTTTTTGTCTGTTTTATAGTAGGTGATTGGCCTGACTTCCAGCAGCTAGTACCCGGCGCCCCGCTGGGGCTCCTGGATTTCGACGCCCTGCTGGGGGGGGGGGGGCGAAATCCAGGAACACCCCCTTTCTAATTTAGCCCCTGGGCCCCGTAGCGATACGCCACTGGCGGCGTTCGCAAGCGCTAAAAAATAAGTAACAAATTGCTTCGGCCATTTTTAGGTCAGATGTGGGCCAAAGGTCAGGTCACCAAAAGTCATCGAAGGTAAAATTTCGCCAACATCCAGGTCAAACTTTGACAATTTTCGACAAACCGGTGCATAACTTGAACGTTCTTTTACCGTTCTTTGGCTAGCATGTCCGCAGCTTTGACCTATAAGGCCAACTATGTAGCCCTCAGACGTTTGGCAAACGTCGAAATAGGCGTTTGCTGCAGAAAGTCTTTCTGCAATGAATTTTGACTCTAAACTTGCACGAGTTTTACTTTTATCAGAATTGTGCTCTGGTCGAGACGCATCAACTGAACTATAAGTTGACCTTGAAAGGTCAATTAAATGAGAAGAATCAATGAAATTTGACCTCCGGTCTAGGTAATATCTTGACTGGAAAAGGTCGTGAAGCGTATCAGTCGATTCGTATCATCGAGCTGAGCACACCTAAGGCATGTTTTCATCGTTCTAGCGTGCCTTTATCGAAAGTTATCAGCGAAAAACTGTTGCATACATTTCGTGACCTGAGATGACCTCAGGGACATAGGAAGGGGTCACAGGTGCCACATTCCAGTTCAGTATGTCACGTGTCCTTATAGCCCGGTGTTCGAGAATGCTTAGAAGTTAGAATAGCGTTCCTCCAAAAAAGGCGCCATTTAGTTTTCTTCCGTTGACTTATAGATAGGTAATGGAAAGGTCGCAAAATTGATCTGACCTTAGATGACCGATGTCAAAATTATGTGATACACATTTTGTACACACTGCTAACTCTTACGAATTTCTGAAAGTTTCAAAGCGATCCGTTAGGTGTATCTATGGCAAGCAGTGGAACGTTTTCTGAGGTGAAGTTACTTGACGTGACGTGGTGACCTGACCTTAAGAGACCTTGATATGAAATTTTCACAACATGTGTATAAATCTCTTGCAATTCACCGCTATTCAATCCTTTCATGTGGATAACATATGCCTAAACTGATCATTTACCCTCGCCCGTGTAGGGGGGGGGGGGTCGAACGGACCCTCTCCCCTCGGCTTTTCGCGAATAACTCGTGTAAAAATTGGCCGATCGCGACGAAACCTTCAGTACCCTCGAGTTGATCATTTTTAGACCTACCCTGAAAATTTAATGATCCTAACACAAATGACCTTTGACCTGTGACCTACTTTTCGAGACCATGTTTGGCCGGAATCGCGATTCGGCGTATGGTCTTTTCGTGGTTTCAAGCGTTCAAACATGTGAAATGATGTTGGTCCCATGCATTAGGGTGGGTGTCAAGGTCACTTGAAGGTCAGGTCAGGTCATTGACCTTTGATGACCTCGGTTCACTTTTTCGAGTTTTACATATTTCTAGGCCTGGTTTTGGAGCTGAATTCAAATTTAGCAACCATATTAACATTTACAAAGTGGTTTTGGTGCTGTTGCCGCCTCATCACGTTATTCCGATACGGTATTGTACATATTTGTAAATAGTCTGTCATGTGGCGGCGCCGTTAGTTATATTCGCGTGCGATGCCCGCGAGATTTAATTTAAATTTCCAGGTCATCGAAAAAGGCTAAAATTGGTGGGTTTTCGATCGCCGTATTACGATGCGTAGTTTTGTGTACACTAATTGATTTAGCACTGAGCCGTAAGATGCATAAAGCTTTAACGACATGACATGACATGGCATGACATGACATGACATGACATGACATGACATGACATGACATAGAGATGAACTAAGACTTGAATAAATCATTAGCTGAAGTCTCGCATTTCACCAAAAGCATCTCACCCAACGAATCGAAAATAATGTCCGTTACAGCGAACAGCGGCTCGGCGGCTACAGTTAAAGCTTTAGCATTTAACTTAACTTAAAGCTGATGGATTAAAGTAAAGGCTTAAAGTTAAGGCTTTGTTCGAAGTCGAAGCTTGCATTTAGTTTAAAGGCTTTGCATTTAAAACTTTTCACAGTTAAGTTTAAGCTGATGCACTCAAGCTAAAGCATTTAGTTAAAGCCAGTGCATTCAAGTAAAAGCTTTAAGATAAAGCTTTGTGCGAAGTTAAAGCCAAACGAGAAGGTAAAGCGTAGAACTATGCAAGAACAATGACATATTTGGATGTAAGCGAGATTAAGTTGGCAAGACAGTGCAATAGCTTGCGAGATGAGGCCTAAGAATGATTGCAAGATGTGAAAGGCTCTTGTATTTCCAAGGAAACGACGGCTTTAGTGGACTTGCGTGACAGATTGACTGCACCAATTGAAAACGTCTGAAGGCGAGTTCATACGCGCTTCACGGCTGACGTCTCGTCTCGTCCTGGCCTGACGTGAGAGACGATCGCATTCAACGCATCACAGCAGATCAATCGGTGCTGCATTTGATTGGTTAATCGGACGCAACTCGCGGAAGTCACAAAATGGACAAGCTTGACAGACTTAGCGTGAGTGAGTTGAAAGAGCGACTGAGGGAGAGACACGCAAATATTAAGGGCACGAAGGCCGTTCTAGTTCGACGTTTGCAAGAGCTTATGAGATATGAAAAGGACGATGGTTCAAGCAGGAACCGAGAAGACGCCGATTGCAACAACGGACAAGATAACGACTCCATAACTGAGGCGGCGTTGAATGACCAATCCGTGTGTGGCGAGTCAGTTGTCTCTTGTCACACTTCCGCCTCTGCCGCCTCAGTGCGCTCACTGCGAGCTATTGAAGCGACAAAAAGAGCTGCATTGCTGGCACGAGCCTCGTTTCTGCAGGAGAAACGTAAAATCGAATTGGAGGAGCTGAATCTTCGGCTTCGTAGAGAGGAACTAATGATAAGAACCGAGCTTGCAGAATCGGAGGCAAGAGAGAAGATCCTGGCGGAAGCTGATCAGCCAGAGGGCATGGCGGCCACGGCACGACTAGTCACATCCTTCTCCGACCGACAAAACCAGCCGTCCTCTCAGTCTCTGACTTCTGGGAATGCTGAGCCAGAAACAGGGCTCAGGAACCCTACCCAAGAGCGTCGCTGTTCTGATGGACCGTCTGGGAGATCGCGGGAGCCCACCACGTACGAGGCTAGGAGCATATACGACTCGGAGGCAGCAGGAGCAGCGACAGAGCAGAGGGGTCATACAGAGCCTCAGCAGTCACAGCAGGCAGACTACTCAAGGGTGCTGCTCACTCAGCTTCAGAAGGGCCAGTTGCCTAAGCTGGAGATACCGGTCTTCGACGGCGATGTAACGAAGTATCGCAGTTTTGTTAGAGCTTTCGACTCCAGAGTCGCCAGTAAAACTGATGATCCCGACGAGAGGCTTTATTATCTTCAGACCTATTTGCGCGGGAAGCCTCTTGATATCGTACGTGGATGCGCGCATATGTCAGATGGGTCGGGTTATCTGGAGGCCAGGCGCCTGCTCAACAGGCGATATGGAGACCCTGATTCGGTGTCTTCAGCATTTGTCGACATTCTGACTGATTGGAATTCTATCAAGCCGGGTGATGTGGACAGCCTGGACAAGTTCTCCATCGCGCTCACGTCGTGTCTCAACGTGATGAAAGATATACCTCCAGGGTCGAGAGAGACCGACCATCCAAGAACGATGCGCAAGATAGTGGAAAAGCTTCCCTATCACTGCCAGGACAGCTGGCGCAATAGAGTGATACAAATAAAGGAAGAAGCAAACAGAAAGGTGACATTTGAAGACATCGTAGTTTTCGTTGACAGAGAAGTGAGAAAAATCACAGATCCCACCTTCGGGAAGCTGACCAAGCCAGATGGAAGCGGTAAGAAGCCTCATATCGTGTCTGCAACAGGTGTCAATAAGGACGCATCTCCTCGGGTGATGACGTGCCTGTACTGTGCCGAGCAGCATTCAACGGATTCCTGTGAGAGGCTGAATCATGAGCCCTATGAAAAGAGAAGAACGTTCATCGTTGAACAAAGACTTTGCTTCGGGTGCCTTCGGCAGCGGCATCAGATCAGTGTGTGCACAAAAAGGCTGTCCTGCAAGATCTGCAAGGGTCGCCATCCGACTCCGCTGCACAACGACAAGCAGGCATCTCCTTCCGAATTTTCTGCTACAAGCAAGCAAAGCAGTGGTAGCAGTGCAGGGCCGGCAGCCGTCGTAAGAAACGGACGATTGGAAATAGACGGCGCAGAAGTGGCGGCCGGTGCTCGCGGAGACTCGTCCACAATGATGGCAGTGATACCCGTGTTAGTTCGATCACCTGACGGCTCACGATCGGTCGTCACTCATGCGTTTCTGGACCTCGGGTCAAGTGCAACATTCTGCACGGATCTTCTGCTTAAAAGGCTGAACGTCAAGGGAAAAGCGACAAGGCTGACGATGATGACTGCTGCTTCTGAAAATCAGTCCGTACAATGTCAAGTAGTCGAGGGCTTATCTATTACAGGCCTTCATTCTTCAACTGCTGTTCAGCTGCCACCCACCTACACACTTGAAAGGATACCAGTTAAACACGAGGACATCGCAACCCCAGCCGACATCGGTAAATGGATGCATCTCGAGGGAATTCCTCTGACACAAGTAGACGCTGAGATCGGCCTCATGATTGGCGGAAACTGTCCCGAAGCTTTGTGTCCACTTGAGGTCAGGAGAGGCGGTGAAGGCGAGCCATTTGCGTTCCGTTCAGAGCTGGGCTGGGCTGTGTATGGACCCCGAGAACTCCGATCCACCAGAGATCATGGAGCGGCAAGAGTAAACAGAGTCAGTGTACTCAGAGGTGATTCTGATATTCATGAGAAGTTCGTCTCGCTATATAATAAGGAATTCGAAGACAACGGCAGCTCCACCGACGTGGGACTGTCAGTGGAGGACAGAGTGTGGTTGAAAACGGTCGAAGCGGGAACACGCTATATCGATGGACATTACGAGATTCCCTTACCTCTGAAAGAAGACGCGCCATTTCCAGACAATAAGCAACAGGCATTGCTTAGAGCTGAGCACTTGAAAAGGAAAATGAGAGAACGACAGCGCACATGGGTGCGTTCAGCCAAGTTGGAACGGACTTCTTTGGTCCATTTTATGTGAAAATGGGTAGAAAACAGCTCAAGAGATATGCTGTTTTATTCAGCTGTCTTTCCAGTAGAGCTGTACACATAGAGCTATGCGAGAGCCTCGACACCAGTTCATTCATCAACGCATTGCGGCGTTTCCAGGCTCGGAGAGGTCAGGCTACGCTTATACGGTCGGACAACGGTACCAACTTTGTGGCGGCCGAGAAAGAATTGCGCGAAGAGTTGAAGAGACTTCAAGAGAAGAAAGTCCACGAATTTCTCCTGAAGGAGGGTATCACGTGGATATTCAACCCACCTGGTGCATCATCACACGGTGGGGTGTGGGAGAGACAAATTCGCTCCATCAGAAAGATTCTGAATGGGCTCCTTCGGGAACAAACGCTGACGGAAGAATCGCTCCGCACGCTGTTGTGCGAGGTCGAGTCAATACTGAATTCGACTCCAATCACCACCGTCTCAGGTGATGCAACAGACTTGCAGCCGCTGACCCCAAATGACCTTCTCCTGCTGAGGGGCGGTCCTACGCCAGACAGCCGGTTCACCGCCAGGGACAGCCGGTCTGCTCGAAGATGGAGACAAATGCAGTATTTGGCCGATATCTTCTGGAAACGATGGATTCGGGAGTATTTGCCGCTATTACAACTGAGACACAAATGGAACAAGGTGGAACGAAATCTAGCAGTTAATGACGTAGTGCTTGTCATGGATACGAGCACACCACGCTCCAGGTGGCCTCTGGGCCGAATCAAAGAGACTTTCCCGGACCGGAAAGGCTTCGTCCGATCTGCAATGGTACAGACCGAGACGTCAGTTCTGAAGAGGCCGATATCGAAGCTCGTTCTCATCTTGGAGGCAGAATAGTGAGAACACAAAAGATATAGCATCTCTGTAAGGTGCTACTCGTCAGAGCACCATGCCGCACCGATGGTGACCAGAGATAGTTGAGACAATTGATGGATCGGTGATGAGCCTTGTGTTGGTGCTTGTCATGCTGACGTTCTAACAGTTGAATAGTGCTTGTTTAGCGCGGTAGTATTTAGGACCATTGAACCAAATAGGGCTCAAATGTGGCAGGCGCTCATTTGCATGGCGCGTTAGAAAGTTGATGCCACAAAGGTGACGTAAGAGTATGCTGTACAGTGATCAACTTTAATGGCATGTGCAGTTGTGTAGTGAGTGTTGAGCCCTGATCGGGTCAAGGTGGGGAGTGTTGCCGCCTCATCACGTTATTCCGATACGGTATTGTACATATTTGTAAATAGTCTGTCATGTGGCGGCGCCGTTAGTTATATTCGCGTGCGATGCCCGCGAGATTTAATTTAAATTTCCAGGTCATCGAAAAAGGCTAAAATTGGTGGGTTTTCGATCGCCGTATTACGATGCGTAGTTTTGTGTACACTAATTGATTTAGCACTGAGCCGTAAGATGCATAAAGCTTTAACGACATGACATGACATGGCATGACATGACATGACATGACATGACATGACATGACATGACATAGAGATGAACTAAGACTTGAATAAATCATTAGCTGAAGTCTCGCATTTCACCAAAAGCATCTCACCCAACGAATCGAAAATAATGTCCGTTACAGCGAACAGCGGCTCGGCGGCTACAGGTGCCTTCGTAACATGTTACGGAGCTCCTCAGAGGCTACTACGAATACCCGGCAGGGCCCCTACTGGTTGACATGACCTGACCTGACCCGACTTGGCCTTAATGCATAAAGACATCATCTGTGATCAAATCTAACATGACATTCGTTTCAACATCCCGAAAAACTTTACAGCAGCCACACATTAAGACGATCTAACAGGTCCCGATTTTCCCGACTTTTGGGTCATTGACCTGACCTGGAGGGTCAACCAATGACCTAGGACCTTTAACCCTATTCCTGGCGGGCTCCGCCGGGACAAGAAACTGGCGGGGGGGCCGATTCGGCCCCCCCCCCTGAGATCTCGAGAACGAAGCAAGATAGCGACAAGCGGTAAACGGCATCGGATACGCACGGCCAAGATCTACAATTTTTACTAAGGTCATTTTCAGGTCAGGTCAAAGATGACGTCACAGGGGTCGAAAAAGTCAAAATGGCGGCGCTAGATATGGAGAGAGTTTTTCTCGGATAACTTTAGAATTAGCCAAGATAGGAACAAACTAAGGGCATCATCGTGATCCTCTCGTCAATCCGCATCGAATGATATATATGTTGACCTCGAAAGGTCAAGGTCAAAGGTTGACCTCAGGTCACGTGACCTCGAGGTCATCATGTATATCATTCGATGCGTCTTGACGAGCTGAACACAATGAGACCATCCACGCGTCTGTATCTTGTTCCTGTACGGAGTTATTGGCCAAAAACCTTTGGTGACCTTTGATGACGTCACATGACCTCACAGCTGCCCAACAGCAAAACAGACCTCAAGGTAGTGAAGGTTGATCGTATATGAAGTCATGTATGGTATATGGGGCCATTCCGACCCGTTTTAGTGGTAAAAACAGGGAGTTGATTTTTCCCCCATTGACTTATAATGGGGAGGTCGCGAAATTGACCTGACCTTAGGTCACCGATATCAAAATTCCGAGATATACAAATTGTACATACTGGTACCCTAACTAAACCCTGAAGAGAAGAAATTGATCGGTCAAAAACTCTAGCTCTGGCGTGATTGCAAACTTTTCTGAGGTAGGGTCACCAAACCGCCTCTGGTGACCTGACCTGAGGTCAGATCAACTCAAAATTTTCAGACATGTTGCGTAGAAGCCTTTTAGGAAAAGTCAGAAAATTTGAGCTTCCTAGCTCAACGCGTTTGGGAGAAATAACCAAAAAACCTCAGGGGGGGGGGGGGGGCTCCTGAGGCCCCCCCCCCCGCCAGGAATAGGGTTAAATTGGGTATTATCGGATTTCTCTCATCACGGGCAACACGCTCGTTTTTTTTCCGCGAAGCTCTAGCTCGATCAGGGGCGAAACGGCAAGGGGGGATCCAACGGACCCTTATACGTTCGCGGCTGGAAAAACACCAATACGGGCGAGGGTTAAGCAATTACTTTCCACTAGGAGTACCTATGTGAATTGTTAGAAACATGCATCAGTATTACGACATCGTCACGTGCTGAAGCCGAAAAACTCAAGATTACATGCCTATATTTAACAAATCCGCTTAACCCTCGCCCGCACATGCCATTTTCCCATCCTAGAACGCACATGGGGGGGGGGGGGTTGCCACCCCCCGCGCCATTTCGTTCCTGTTGGAGATAGCCAACGTGTTTGCCATAAAATGCTGGGAAGAAAACCACCCCTTCCTTGGCTCGTTTGTCCGCCATTCGCGATGGCGCAAAAAGTGTCCCAAACCGCCATTGACTTAATATGGGCGAAAATTCAAACGCACGCGCCACGCGCAAAAGAATTCTGAGCGAGTAGCGACCGGTGTCATCAGCTAGATCGCCTTCGAAAGTCTATACCCTGAGATTTTTACGAAAATCGTTGCAGAAGTTTTACGAAATCGTTACGAAAATCGTTGACCTGACCTGAGGTCAGATCAACTCAAAATTTTCAGACATGTTGCGTAGAAGCCTTTTAGGAAAAGTCAGAAAATTTGAGCTTCCTAGCTCAACGCGTTTGGGAGAAATAACCAAAAAACCTCAGGGGGGGGGGGCTCCTGAGGCCCCCCCCCCGCCAGGAATAGGGTTAAATTGGGTATTATCGGATTTCTCTCATCACGGGCAACACGCTCGTTTTTTTTCCGCGAAGCTCTAGCTCGATCAGGGGCGAAACGGCAAGGGGGGATCCAACGGACCCTTATACGTTCGCGGCTGGAAAAACACCAATACGGGCGAGGGTTAAGCAATTACTTTCCACTAGGAGTACCTATGTGAATTGTTAGAAACATGCATCAGTATTACGACATCGTCACGTGCTGAAGCCGAAAAACTCAAGATTACATGCCTATATTTAACAAATCCGCTTAACCCTCGCCCGCACATGCCATTTTCCCATCCTAGAACGCACATGGGGGGGGGGTTGCCACCCCCCGCGCCATTTCGTTCCTGTTGGAGATAGCCAACGTGTTTGCCATAAAATGCTGGGAAGAAAACCACCCCTTCCTTGGCTCGTTTGTCCGCCATTCGCGATGGCGCAAAAAGTGTCCCAAACCGCCATTGACTTAATATGGGCGAAAATTCAAACGCACGCGCCACGCGCAAAAGAATTCTGAGCGAGTAGCGACCGGTGTCATCAGCTAGATCGCCTTCGAAAGTCTATACCCTGAGATTTTTACGAAAATCGTTGCAGAAGTTTTGGCTGGAATCAAGTTGCCCCAATTCGCGGCCAGACATGCAAAACATAGCCCGGTGAACGACTGCTCCGGTTGTTTTTCAATAGAAAAACACAATTCAAATTGTACATACTGGTACCCTAACTAAACCCTGAAGAGAAGAAATTGATCGGTCAAAAACTCTAGCTCTGGCGTGATTGCAAACTTTTCTGAGGTAGGGTCACCAAACCGCCTCTGGTGACCTGACCTGAGGTCAGATCAACTCAAAATTTTCAGACATGTTGCGTAGAAGCCTTTTAGGAAAAGTCAGAAAATTTGAGCTTCCTAGCTCAACGCGTTTGGGAGAAATAACCAAAAAACCTCAGGGGGGGGGGGGGCTCCTGAGGCCCCCCCCCCCCCGCCAGGAATAGGGTTAAATTGGGTATTATCGGATTTCTCTCATCACGGGCAACACGCTCGTTTTTTTCCGCGAAGCTCTAGCTCGATCAGGGGCGAAACGGCAAGGGGGGATCCAACGGACCCTTATACGTTCGCGGCTGGAAAAACACCAATACGGGCGAGGGTTAAGCAATTACTTTCCACTAGGAGTACCTATGTGAATTGTTAGAAACATGCATCAGTATTACGACATCGTCACGTGCTGAAGCCGAAAAACTCAAGATTACATGCCTATATTTAACAGCATATTTACGTCTGGACAACGAGTTGCGGGGAAAAGTGCTGATTGTGTTGCAGTTTTAGGAGCCGGTGATTAGGCTGGATTTTTGGGTTACTTTTTCGTTCCGATTCATGTATTACATAGTGTTTGGCTTTTGAATATTTTAGTTCTTTCAGATAAATATTACTTGCCTTACAACTTTTGTAATAACGTTTCATTTTTTTATAAGCCGACGTTCAGAGTCCTAAAAATACATCAGCACTACAATCAATGTAAACAAACAAATGGAGCACAACTTGGCTCTGTTCCAAGGCCATTTTTTAGTTTATCTGGTGGTTTTCTTGCTCTTGTACGTCGTTTTGTTGGATGTTTTGAATCCCTTAAGATTGACTTATATCATATTTAAGAAGCATGTTGACTGAAAACAATCTGAAGTATCCAGGAGGCTGACAGAGGTCCTGACTCCTGACTACTGAGCAATATCAATATCAAGTTGAACAAGTTATGAAATTTTGGTTGATAAACGCAAGTTGATCGGGCTCATATATCAGCAAGAAAAAGTAAAATTAAAAGAGCTTATTGTCCAAAACAAGCTATTATATTGCAGACCTTGGAGCAATACTGAAGAGCACGCTGAGCAGGATCATGCCAGAAAATGTTGACTGATGAGCGCATATTGATGTATTGGTATGAATATGGAATGATAACTTACAACAGCAAGATAAATTAGTGCTAACTATCAAGTTAAAATCTAGAATGAATGGACTTGGGCAGTTTTACTATGCTTAGATGCTATGCAGATTGTAATGTGCATCAGGTACTCAGTGTCTGGCAAATGAAACATGCGATCATTCCATTGCTACTGGAGGAGAAAGCTTGGATCACTAAATCCACTTTATGTTGATTTTGATGTTAATCATCATCACTGTATTTCTTGAAAAAAGGATTGTAGTAAAATTGTCAATGTGACAATCCATGCAACAATGTGATCATATTATGTGTTCATAGTCATTCGTGATAGTCATTATTGGTCCAATATACAATGGCAAAGCTCTCAGTCTCAGCGTTTCTTCCTGTGGATGGCCAGCAGTGACTCAAAGCTTAAAAGTATTAGTTTTCTTCACAGGGCTGGGATAAAAAGTACTGAGGGTAATCTTCCACCAAGGAACTCTACCTTGACATGGTATGAGATGTAGGCACAAGTAGGTACTCGTAGGTGCTCAGTTCCTATAGTCAGTAGTTGTGTATGTTTAGTCGGGTTACCTTAGATCAGATTGTTAGTTTTTTAATTTGCCAAATGTCCATAAAAATGTGACCTGAGCAATGAGCATACCTGAACCTGACTAACCTGACAGCTGACCTAACCTCAATCAGTCAGTCAACTGATCAGTCGGTCAGTCAACAGTCAACTGAGGAACTGGCTCATTGGGTGGCTGGTGTGAGACTGTGCATTTAAAGTGTTTCTTCTCTGAAGCTGCTCTGCACTGCTGTATGTCATGTTAGATGCTCAGAAAATGTGGGAAATGATTACTAAGCTACTTAAGTGCTTTGTTAATGCTCGAGACATGAACAAGTACAGATCTGCAGGGTACAGCTATGAGTTAGGTGCTAATTGCTAGGTGAGTATGTTATGTGAATGTGCTGTTCCCTGTTTGACCGTAAGTATACAAACAAGCACAGGGTCACAGTTATATTCAATCTCCACATAAACATACAACAAAAACGGCCATATAGCCTAACTCCGAACACACCACAGATAACTTAAGCCTTTGAAGGCACAAAAATGTTTTGATTAACAGGACAGGTCTACAATATATCCTCTGTCCTTGGGGGATCTTGCTGCCAAGTTGAGGTATGATGACTGAACTTCAGGATTGATCAACCTTTTCTTAGCCACTGCTTATATACGAGAAAGACCAAATGCTTGTTTGTTTTGATTTACAGGACATGTATACAATATATCCTCTGTCCTTGGGGGATCTTGCTGCCAAGTTGAGGTACGATGACTGAACTTCAGGATTGATCAACCTTTTCTTAGCCACTGCTTATAAACGAGAAAGACCAAATGCTTGTTTGTAAACTGCGTTGAAAATTTAATGATCCACCTTCAATTCTGACATGAAGGCACAAATGAAATAGTTCCCTCTCCTTTTGGAATACACAAAGCAAAATATTTAATAAATTTTAGTGGATGGACAAGAGCAATAAGTATAGCTTTCCCTCAAGTTAACTTCTGGCACTGTTGATGAATTACACTGGCGCTTATTCGCTTCATATTTTGTAACAAACGCGCTAAAACTGCAATATATCAGCACTATATGCTTCTTGACAAAATGCAATAGTAATAAAAATTTAGCCCTGGTGGCATTCATTCTTGGTGGAAACGTAATTACAAAATATTTTGTAGTAACTATTAAATTCCGGCCGAAAACAGTGCACGATTTAAAAAAGAATCATTCCAATGACGGTCCATTCTTGCGGTCCTGAAATCGCCACTATTTCCGGCCTCTCCAACGCAACTCGTTGTCCAGACGTAAATATGCTATTTAACAAATCCGCTTAACCCTCGCCCGCACCAAGGCCCTATATAGAAGGTATGCTCATTAGGCCGAAGCAGCGATTTCCGTGACGTCACAGGTACGAAGGGTCGGACGGCTGTAATGCAATCCTATGGAAAATGACCCAACTTTAGGGCTCTCCCACATAGCTGCCAACCTCGACACTAAGGTAAAAGTTATATCACATAAAAGCTCAAATCAAGACGAACAAGAAACCTATCTGACATTTTTACGTATTACTTACGGCTTAGACTCTATTCAAGTATATTCAGAGCTCTGCATTACCTCACTTTTTCTGCCGTCAATGCCACTACAAATGTCTAGTCGGCGCACGTGCGCTTGTCGAGCGGGGACCACCAGTCGGGCGATTCAGAGCTGCCGCCCAATCAGAACGCCGCAATGCCGTGACGTCATTGGTCGCACACGACACGTTACGGAGATAGGGATGAGACAGCCCTGCGCCCGCACATGCCATTTTCCCATCCTGGGTTGCAGCTGACGGTTGTGTTTACTGAAGCTCTATGTTTTTTGGCTAAAAACTTGATATTTGCTGGCATTCATACAAGTGCGCGGTATTAATACATTCCCATGATAATGTATTCAACAATACCGTTATTCTGAGGCTTATTTTCGCAGAAATAACGTTTAATAGGGACATCAAGATTTCGGCCGATGTGAAACCCGGCAGAAGTGGGTGCGGTTTTGCGTACTTTTCTGATCTCTTAAGTAGAATTGGAGGTGAGAACATATAACGTTTTGTGAAGGAAGGTACAATGAGTCATAGGCCGTAAAAAGGAAACTTATCTTCCATGGACCGATGCAAGATACGAATTCAAAAAAGGTAAAAAATTTTGATATTGTGTGCTAGAAATTCGGCTGGTAACTTCTAGAAGACCCTCTAGCCACATTTTGCCAGGAGAACGTGACATCCTTAGTAAGGGTCCTTTACTTCAGTTATCTTAAGTATTCATGAAACAGTACTGTTAATACTTGACAGGTCAGAACGGCTGTCCGCCTACAAACACTATGTTATTTGGCCCTGTTTTGAGAACATTTGTTCTGGCTATCATTGTGTGGAGATGTTTTGCCGCATCCGCAAATCAGCAACATAGTTATCTTCAGGCAGCATTTTTTTTTTTTTTGAATTTTGCATCCCGGTTGCACTAAGGCATACCGGGGAGGGGATCAGGCAGCATGGATTGCAGATGACAGGTTGCTACCTATGCTTCCAAGAGCCGCACCGTCACCAACACACAGGAGGTCCAAAAGTACTAAGATATACCTGTGCGCACTTCTCCTGGTACTGTCTGGCGACATAGAATTGAACCCAGGGCCAAACTTTCTTTTGAGTTCTGAAGGGTACTCAGATCAGAGACAAGACGATGACATGACCCGCACGGAGAACTTTGTTCTTAATCGATGGAACGCACTGAAGAAGAAAGATGAGAGTCTCAGCCGTCCTGATTACACCACAGCGAGTCATGATGGCATGCAAGTAACAATCAAGTTAAATGGTGCACTTTTTGAGGTATTCAAAAATGAATGGGACAAGTTTGAAGGGCACAAGGGAATCTTGGTAACGCACAGGAAAATGTCGCATGACCGTACAAGACTGGCAACAAAGGTTTTCATGAAAATCGAGTACGATAATCTGAAAGTAGCGATGACTTGCTACTTTACCACCTCTACCATCTTGGTTCAGTCCAGCCAAAAAGATGCAAATGGTTGGGGGGCAGCATTGAGATTTACTGCATTCTACTTAACACCCTTTCTGGATCAGCTAGTGTCTAGGTTTCAGCTACCTAAAATCCAGTCGGACTTAAAAGAAAAAATTCATCAGTCATTTTCGGAAGAGGTGGGGTCTAAGTGTGTTGTGTGCCTCTTGCCATTGACATACAGAAAACTAAGAGGCAATAAAACAGCTGGCGTCTTGTCCTGTTCAAGTGGCTCCTGCCAGAACATGTCGCACGTCGGCTGCGTCAAGGAAGAAAGGACCAAGTGGCGGTGCTCAAATCACATCAAACCGGAGCATGCCTCTTTGCGGGTATCGAACTCGGCATTACATGGGCCGGCGGCCTCCGGACAGCCCGAGGGACCGGTCACACGGCCCCCGGCGGTGACATCTGGACCGGCCTCCGGACAGCCCGAGGGACCGGTCACACTGCCCCCGACAGGAACGTCTGGCTCTACCCCTGGACAGCCCGAGGGACCGGCGATGCAGCCCCCGGCGGTGACATCTGGGCCGGCCTCCGGGCAGCCCGAGGGACCGGCGATGCAGTCCTCGGCGGTGACATCTGGGCCGGCCTCTGGACAGCCCGAGGGACCGGCGATGCGGCCCTCGGCGGTGACATCTGGGCCGGCCTCCGGACAGCCCGAGGGACCGATCACACAGCCTCCGGCGGTGACATCTGAGCCGGCCTCCGGACAGCCCGAGGGACCGGCGATGCAGCCCTCGGCGGGGACATCTGGGCCGGCCTCCGGACAGCCCGAGGTACTGGTCACACGGCCCCCGGCGGTGACATCTGGGCCGGCCTCCGGACAGCCCGAGGGGCCGGTCACACGGCTCCCGATGGGGACATCTGGGCCGGCCTCCGGACATCCCGAGGGACCGGCGATGCAGCCCTCGGCGGGGACATCTGGGCCGGCCTCCGGACAGCCCGAGGTACTGGTCACACGGCCCCCGGCGGTGACATCTGGGCCGGCCTCCGGACAGCCCGAGGGACCGGCGATGCAGCCCCTGGCGGGGACATCTGGGCCAGCCTCCGGACAGCCCGAGGGGCCGGTCACACGGCTCCCGGTGGGGACATCTGGGCCGGCCTCCGGACATCCCGAAGGACCATGGACATCTGACTCATTTAGTAGCGAAACAGGTGCTTGTCAGGTCGCTCACAAGAATGTCTGTTTTGGTCCAAGAACTGGAATCAACAATTCATGTAGTTCTGCGTACAATCCAAGCTATGATTCGAGGCCAGGCCCATCTTTTCTGGGTGTCACTAACATGGACATAATGGAAGCGATTAGGCTCCTGCAGTTCAGTGTAGACCAACTCCGAAGAGAGGTGCAGGATGTCAAAGTAAGACAGGAGGCTTTATCACAAGGGATTATATGTAGTAAACTATCTACTGCTCCTGAAAGCGTGAATTCAGTGAATGATCTATCTTGTCAACCGATGAGTAGTCCAGAGAACGGTCAAGGGGACCGCAATCCATTGACAGACAAGGTTGCTGTTCAAGCGGACATTCGCTTGAATTCTGGGAACAGATTAGGAAAGGGCCAATCTGCATCTGACCGCGATCCGAAAGTCTCCAGCGTTGAGCATAAGCAAAGAGGCAAAGGCCAAGTCATGCAACAAAAGGGGGGATCTGAGGTCATACTCTATGGAGACTCGCGGATCAAATTTATGGATAGAGCGTTTTGTGAACAAAATCGGGACAAACGAATGAGGGTGTGTTTACCAGGCGCAAGGCTACAGGACTTGTCAGACAGGCTTACTGGCGTAGTGAGTGATAGTAGTCCTAACAGTGTCCTTATCTTACATGGAGGTGTAAATGATGTTGGCAACACACGATCGGAGGAACTTATGGATACCTATAAGATGGTAATAAGTGATCTTACAAAGTCCGGGAGAAAATGCATGATTACCGGCATTTTGCCAAAAATTGGGGCCGGGATAGAATGGTCATCCAGAGCACTTGGAATCAATGAGCGAGTTAAGAGGCTATGTAAAGCAAAGAACATACGTTTCTTAGACTACTGGGATCATTTTTGGGGGAAAAGGGAACTGTACTCAATTGATGGTTATCACTTCAGCAGAGAAGGTGTGCTCCTTCTGAGCAGCCTTTATGAAAAGGAGCTACATCAGGAAAACTAGAGAAATCTACAGGTGAGGAAGACTCAAGTAATGAGGTTAAAACCTCTCTGAAGTGTTTTTATACCAATGCTCGGAGCATAAGAAATAAAATTGAGGAATTGCAAATTTACATGATTGCTGAATATCTTGATGTAGTAATTATAACAGAGTCATGGGTTAATGAGAACATGTTAGGGGATCGTTTGCAAGATTATGCCATTGCTAACTATGATCTGTTCACTTATCAAAGAAAAACAAAAGTAGGTGGTGGAATTTTAGCGTATGTGAAAAGAAACCTAAGGCCATCCGTACTAGGACATTTTAATGATAGTGGTGATGTCGAATCCCTCTGGATTGACATCTTTCCTGATGGAAGTCTCCATAGTAAAATTAGAATTGGAGCTTTCTATAGACCTCCTAATCAATCAAAGCAGGCGGAGGCGGATCTGGCCATGGTTGATGAAATAGAAAGAGGCCTAGATAAAAATACTGTCCTTTTAGGAGATTTCAATCTCCCAAAGTTGTCAAAAGAAGGAACAAGCCACAACTGGGAAACTACTCTATTCAGGGAAAATTTTGAAGAATGGTTCCTGACACAACATGTGTTGCAGGCGACCAGAAAAGATGAACTACTTGACTTGGTTCTAACTAACAATGAAAACTTAATTACAGATGTCATGGTGGGAGAATCCATTGGAAATAGTGATCATGCTATCATAAGATTCAGCATAAATTGTCGCTTGAAGAAGAAAGGTGTAAGAATGTATATTACTCCAAATTTTGCCAAGGGAGATTATGATGCAATCAGATCGTTCTTGACTTGTATGAAATGGAGCGCAATGTTTGAAGGTAAAAATGTTGACGAAATGTGGGTTGTTTTCAAAAATGTACTTACTGAGGCCCAGAAACGATTTATTCCCATGAGGAGGAGGCGGAGAGGTAAGATACCGAAACCACCTTGGTTTAATTGGTCGGTACAAAAATGTTTCAATGAGAAGAAAAAAACATATTGTGAATTTAAATCAAATCCATCTGCTGAAAAAAGGATGAGGTATTTGAAAGCCAGAAGAGCATTAAAAAGCACGATTCGTAAAACAAAGCGTGCAACAGAGATACGATTTGCTAATGAATGCGGTGGAGACCTAAAAAGATTTTTCAGTTTTTATAAGTTCAACAAACATGATGCACGAATTGGTCCGATTAGAAAGGATGGAATAATTTATCACGAAGACGCTGATAAGGCTCAGATTCTCAATGATCAATTTTCCAAAGTATTTACTGATGAGTGTCTTACAATTTACAAACATTCCCACCAATAAAAACGATGCATGCTCACAGAAGCTTACGAGCATCCCTCTTAATCATGAGGACATTCTGAAATGTTTACAGAACCTCAAAATAAATAAGACAGGTGGTCCAGATGGCATATCTGCTAGAATTTTGAAGGAAGCAGCGAAAGAGCTGTCCATGCCACTTTATATTATTTTTAAAAACTCTTTAGATACTGGTCAAATTCCTGATGATTGGAAACATGCTAACGTAGTGCCAATATTAAAAGGCGGAGACAAAACAGTGGTAGGAAATTACAGGCCAGTCAGTCTCACTTCTCTTGTATGTAAAATAATCGAAAAGATAATAAAAAAACACATACTGGCACATTTGGAGCGAGAAGCTCTTCTGTTGCCATCTCAACACGGGTTTAGAAGTGGTCGTTCATGTTTGACAAATTTATTAGATTTCCTTGAGCATGTAACAGACCTTGTAGATAGAGGTACAAATGTATCAGTAGTCTATTTAGATTTTTGTAAGGCTTTTGATAAAGTTCCCCATAGAAGATTACTAACATCATTAGAAATTCATGGACTTAGCGGGGCTTTACTCAACTGGATTGAGAGCTGGTTATTAGCACGTAAACAGAGAGTAATACTTAACGGACATGAAGCGGATTGGAAGGATGTTAGAAGTGGTGTACCTCAGGGTACGGTCCTAGCCCCTTTATTGTTTATCATTTTTGTAAATTTGATAGACTCGAAGCTAACGAGCAAACTTTGGAAGTTTGCCGATGACATTAAATTAGCTAGGGAAATTACTTCCGAAAACGACAAGAAAGCACTACAATTAGATTTGAATACTCTTCATGATTGGACTCAAGAATGGCAGATGGAATTCAATATAGAAAAATGTAAAGTCCTCCACTTGGGGGGATATGGTGATGATCTATATAACATAAATGGTGAGACACTTCGAAATGTTCATGAAGAAAAAGATTTGGGGGTTTTGATCACAGATGATTTGAAATTTAGCCGCCATTGTCAGGAGGCACGGAAAAAGGCCCTTAAGATGTTGGGAATTATAAACAGAAATGTCACTTATAAAAGTAAGGAGGTCATGAAGAGACTTTACTGTGCCTATGTTAGGCCACATTTAGAATATTGTGCACAAGCTTGCCATTCTTCTTTTAAAAAAGATGTAACATTATTAGAACGGGTTCAGAGAAAGGCAACTAGGATGGTGCGGGGCTTAGCTCAAATGAGTTACAAAGATCGACTTGTGTCACTTAACATGTTCTCGCTAAATTACCGGAGAGTAAGAGGAGATTTAATCGAACTGTTCAAGATTTACAAGGGTATTGACAAACTTGACTTTCAGAATATGTTTACAATAAATTCGCATTCTACGAGGGGTCATAAATGTAAACTGAAAAAGAAGTATACAAGAACGCGCTTAAGACAGTCTTTTTTCACCAGTAGGGTCGTAGATATTTGGAATGGCTTACCATCTTTGGTTATCGATAGTTCCTCCATCCAGCAATTCAAGAATGGAATTGATTTATTCTTTGCAGAAAGTGGTCTAGTTTTTGACACTTGAAATGAAATCTAAAACTTTTTTTTTCTTTTTTCCTTCTTTTTTATTTGTGTCGGGATATTTATGAAATGTAGTGAAAGGAGATTGTTTATCGATGTATGTGAGATATGTCTGATTCATGTGAGTATGTGCGTTGATTTACATGTGCATGTAACCTTGTTGGGCCCATGTGGCCTGTTGTTGCATGGAAATATATGTTATGTTATGTTATAGAGCTTCGCGGTATAGACCAAAAAGATTCTTTGGGAAGAGACGAATCCAATGATACCCAGTTTTACCTTCTCAGGTCAGGTCAAACTAAAAATGTTGCTGTTTTGGGTCACCATTGGATATCAAGTGCGCTGCTTATCATATACCGATGACGATACCGTTTTCTGGTGCCAAGCCAGCTAGAACCTCTTTGTAACACTACCCGACCAGAATTTTGCTGCTGAGGTCATTTCAGGTCAAGTTAGGTGAAGGTCAGTTATATGTGTCTGTATGTCTGTGTGTGTCTGTGTGTATACTGATGTGTGCACCGAGTGTTTATGTGTCCATATTACATGAAATGATGATCTGAGAAGCTTTTACCAAAAATGCAGTCAAAAAACTTCACGAAAAGTAAATTCAGCTTGCCTAAAACGCAATGATTTTAGATGACCCAGGTTGACCTTGACCCTGACCTTGACATCTGTACATCGTCGAACAACATGTTCCATGATAGGTGGGAGGTAAGACTGGCAAAAAAGGCCGAAATGAAGGTGTCAAAAGCTCACAAGGCTCATAGCCAACGCAAGATGTTGCGAATTGGCCATTTGGGTCATGACATGACCTGAAAAACAAGGTCATATCTCCGAAACCAAAAACCACAGAAACTTGAAATTATCAGTGAACATCAAGAAAGGATAGAGGAGCAGCTATACCAACAATCAGACTTCTAGCTCTAAAAATGTTGAGTGCAGAGCAGAAAGACTACCGGGGGGGGGGGGGGGCGGTGGCAGCCCCCCCCCATGTGCGGGCGAGGGTTAATAAATCCACGTACTCCGCTTAATAAAGCCACTTGGAAGTTCTCTCAAGTCCGCAGTCACGTTTCTCCATTCAAAATGTGGCATCCTACCCGCTCCTAAAGAACTGCGCTGGAGCAGCGGTCTGCAGCAGTTGGAGTTCTAAAAACAG